GGGGGGGGGGGGGGGGGGAGGGGAGGTGGGAAGGTATGGAGAGGAGATCTCCTCCAGTTGACAGGTAAATAATAAAAGCCTGAAAACAAAGGCCAGAGGTACATTCTAATACAGCTATACTCTAGCTTTTTCCTGAAACAATGCCTATTTCTAGCAAGATTATCAAGGAAAAGATTTTTGTTGTTGTTTTGGTTTTCTTCATGAACTGAGTTTGACTTGGTTACTTACATCTGTCAGCAGGGAAAAAGCTTTGTCTGTACCATGATCTTGATTCAGAATTCTTATAGTTTTCTATGTGGTACCTAATATATCTAGAGACCTGGGTTTTTACTATTCTAAAGCTGGGAATTCTATGCGTATTTCCAAAGAAGGCATCTCAGCCCAAGCCAGTGCTTATAATTTTTATTCCAATAAGACAAGAATGGATTCTTCTTGAATTTAGGCAAATAACCATATTAGCATAAAAAATAAAATACAGGTAATTTTTGGATATTTGAGGAACTAAGTAGAGGGGAAGGAAGCAAATGTTTCTTCCTCTGCCCACAAATATATGTTTTACCAAATTACCAGAAACTACTGCTAGCATAAGAAAGAATTTTATATAAATCTCAAAGACAAAATATCGGTGTAAAAATAGTGTTTTTAAAGAAAAAGGCACAAAGACCTGTAAATTTTAGCATATGGTAGACCTTTGTTCATGCTAGTCTTAATTAGTGGATTCTTGAGCCTTCAGCTCTTCTCTCACCTGGAACTTTCCAAGTGTTCCACTGACTTTAAGTTCTTTTTAGAACCTTACCCATGGTCTTACTCAAATGGGTTTATTGAGGATCCAGAACTGGGGTGATGAGCATCTTAGAATACCCCTGCCTCAGTTCTGTGAGGGGTCAGTAGTTAATGAGGGAGTTGAATGATTTCCCACTGCCTGTAGCCTTTTCTAAGAGTGTTATCATGACTTGACATCACACCAGTAACATCAGACTTGGATACATTTTATATCCACAATATGGCCATAGCTGGGCATAGTGGCACACACCTGTAATCCCAATGATTGCTAGCAGAGGCAGGAAGATGACAAATCTGAAGCCAGCATGGACAGCCTCACACAGATAGTGTGAGACTACTTGTGGCTCACGTGGAACAGTGCTTGCCTAGTTCAATCTTTAATACCGTGAGGTAAATGAATACATAAGTAATATGTGCATGAAAATACAGTTTTTCAAAGATGTATAATCATAGGGGAAAAACAAAGGAGGAGCAACCATACTCGATAGGAAATGGACCCATTACCTTGCTCATGTAACTGTCACCCCTCTGTACAGTATTTTTACAATAAAAAAGTACAAAAAAATTAAAGATGTATAATCA